AAAAAAAAAAAAAAACCTTTAATTTGTTTAATTTGACTGGAGAATAAATCAAATCAATCATACTGAAAAAGGTCCTCAACAGACACAATTAATATGCAGTTACACACCAAAGCCTACTTAGGTAACATACAGAGAACCAACCAGATCTGACCACAGCCAATGCTAACAGAAAATAGCCATGAATGCAGGCAGGCATTTGCTATTGATTCTCGGGGGTAGCAAGCACTCCAAGGATCTCTGCAGCGTTTGTAAGTCTCCCAAGCAACAGTTTTATAATGTGGAGAATTCTAAAGGTATCTACATGATTTCAATGGCTAGGTTAGGAAAAGCCATCATATCATACAAAGAAAAAGGAGATTTAAATGAAGCCCCTCTACCTCGGTGGTTGTCACCGCCCATCCTGCTGATGCAGAACTGACTCAGTTTACTTTCCTTCCACTGTGACATACTGCCATGAGGTGGGGCTACATATTATAGTTTTGGACTTGGGAGTGAAAATTAAGTGTCGGTTAACTTTTACAAGTCAATCAACTTGCTGCTGCTTCCCTTCAACTCAACCAAGCAGGAAGCACAGAATGTTCGCCTTCTGAATTTGCAGTTGTGCAGCTTATGATTTCTTCCATTAAGTCTTCAAGAATTGCTTCACCCATCTCAACACCAAAACTCTCAGTGTCATGTCGAAGATCCAACCATGTTCCTGTCTTAGCCATGTCTTTCCTGACTATCTGGTCTAGAGTTCGAGGCAGTGGCATTGGGAGGAGACGCCAATAAACTCCATCCATGACTTCTTGGATGGTGTTTTTCATATTTGGGATAGGCCTGACGTTAGGTTTAACAAATGACACCCAAGGGGAGCAACCCATGTAATGCCCACAAATCTCCATGAGAACTTCGTTGACACAATCAAAGAGGAGGTTTTGGTCATGACAAAGCTGGTTGGGACAGAATTCTACCTCATCAAGCACATTTGAATCTAGAAGCAAGTCTGAAGAAAGTGACTTGATATAGAGCTCATCCCAGTTTAAATTAGATGCTTGAAGCACTGCCTTTATGTACTTAAAAACTGATTTCTCATTATCCATACAAGCTTTTGTCTGGTTAACTTGACCTGCAGGTGAAGGGCCATATCCTTCAAATTGAATTCTAAGTGGCTGTATTGCTGTTTCAGCTGAAGATTTGTGAACAAATTGACGTCAGCCAAAGAGTACAAAAAAAAAAAAAAATCAATGTTAAGCCAACCAAGAATTATCTGAGATTCTTACCAGAATGGGATCTGGTGCTTGCTGGGCTGATGACATCCTCTGTGAAGAGTGGTTCAAGAACAGATACAGGACTTGGTCGCTCCTGTATATCAGTAATTCTCTCGGGATATTCAACTTTTATGGTGACTAAAGAGTGTGGTGGAGATGCTAAAAGAGAAGCTGGTGGTTCGTCCTCTTCACGTGTCTGGGGAAAGAATAAAAGTACTTGTTAGGAGTAAATGCCATAAATGCATGGTGCAGAACAATAGCCAGAGCCAGATACAATTGATAGAAAAACTTCAAGTTTTTTCTGTCTTAAATGCTGCTTTCAAGTGTAAACGAGCAAGGAAACCTAAGATGAGTTGTGTTCTATTGAAGGCAGTATAAAACCATTCTCTTATTAACTTTCCATATCTAATATCCTTTTGCCTCTTACTGGTGGATAATAGAAGATGAACTACAATCTATAGATTACATAAGCACAGTACTAACAGCTTGAGCTCACCCTCTCAATTTGCAGAAAAGGAAGCTATTATCTCTAAATACATAACAAGTGATCTTTCTTAATCTCATCTCCACCTATTATATTGTTGCCTGCCTTGTGCTCACCCTTTCAATTTGCAGAAAAGGAAGCTATTATTTCTAAATACATAACAAGTGATCTTTCTTAATCTCATCTCAACCAATTATATTGTTGCATGCCTGTAATTGTGCCAAAAAATATATATATATACAAGAAGTCTGCTAGTGACACTACTTTACCTGTTTTGAGCATTGTGGATCTTGTTTTTCATCACAAACACCAATATCAACATTTCTGTCATCTCTAGTATCAGAAAAGGTATCTGGTTCAGGAAAAGTATCCAAGAGCTTGCACTCCACTTGGACAATAGTTTCAGCTACTTCAAAAATCTCCACAGCATCTGAGAAGTTATGTAAAAGGTTAAATAATAAGAAACTTTTATTTGATTTATCAAACATGCTTGTCACCATAAATTATAAGGCTTGAATAAAATTACCTCTTGAACTCATCTGATCTCCAATAGAACAAAAAGTTTCATCCATTCTGTTATCATTACCACACTGGTCCGAGATGCATAAATTAAATTTATCATCTTGTACTTCATTATTGTTACTGTCATCTGAAATGCATTGTTTATTCTCTGAATTATTTTTTGTCTGACTTAGATGACTGACATGGTTGTGTTGCTTGTTCTCATTGACCACCGGTGATGTGTCAGGGGCTGTAAGTCTCATCTTTGCGGTTAAAAAGCCGAGCTCCCTGTTCCTTCCAGGACTTCCAACAGGGGACGAGTTATAATCAGGAAGAGAAAGCATCCTCCCTAAGGTTTTCTGAACTTTTCTGCTTGAGCAATCTGCATTTTGATTCCCATTGTTTAGCATCTCAAATAGATGTTTCTTAGCCTCAATATAGATGCTGGAAACTTTTTGCTTGCAAAAATCAGCAGTCTCATGCTTGCTATTTATCTCATGGTCTTTGAGTCTGTCTGTGGAAGGTCTAGCAATCCTTTCAATAAAGAAGTGATCTTTGGTTGGAGAATTCATGCCAGCATATTCCTTAACCCACCCACTACGTGCTGCATTTCGACGTTCAACAGGAGATCTTTTGGAAACACCACCAATTGACGTTCTTTGTTGCTCCATGCCCATAGCATGTTTCAACTTTCTTTTAATTTCAGAGAGAAAAAAGTGTGAACTAACTTTCTCACTTGGTTCCCTGTTTGATCTGACGACGTAATGAGATTCTGTTGAAGGCCTATGATTAAGATTGCTTACAATTTCAGGATTTTGCAAGGCTGCGGGCCCAGGCTTTAAAATGACAATCTTATTTGAAGTCTGTGAAATTTTACTTCCATTTGATGTGTCTCTTCCCTGAGACCTGACCTTTCTCCTGAAGAAGTTGCGATGTTTTCGATTAACAAGCTCATCAGATTGTCTTGGATTAATAAGCTGCTCTTCAGAAATGTCAGATCCTGCGACTGACTTGGACTCTCCTTTCTTTACCTCAGCATCTGGCAAGTCCTGAACATATCTAACTAACAAGGAGTTAGGGTCCCGTAAAAGTTTCAAAAACAATTCCTCATCTGAACTCAAAATTTGGAGAGCATCTACAAGGTCTTTGGAGGTTCGGAGTTCCCCATCTTCTACATGTACATTCTCATCAGTAAGCTTCTGACTTACTAAAAACTTGATTGCCTCACTCAATTTTTGTTCAAAACCAGGACTCTTCTGGACTGGCTCCATATGTAGTTCAACGGGCTGTTCATGCTCCACACAACTGATACTTTTCTGATGAATTTGGCGGCAGAGTTCTTCCATTACATTACTCATATCAAGACCATTCAGAGCTTGATGCTCTGACTTACGATGACAAAGGCCTTCTGATCCCACTTTCTCAGCAGCATCCACACCACTGATGTCATCACAGCTTTTGTTCCTACTCTTTTTACCTCTTCTATGACTCTTCCTTCTATTGTCTCCATGTCCAGAGTCGCACTGTTTTGCTTCAACTTCAGCATTTTCTATCTTAGCATCCTGCTCCGTAGACATCTCTTCTTCTATGAGTTTTTTCACGCTTGGCTTACATACATCAATCATTGTTGTATTTTCTTCATCCTGGGGCAAATACAGTTAAACATAAAAAACTTGCTTCTCATTGGAATGACAGCTCTAATAGCACCACGTACTTAATATAAAAAGATGCATGAATGCAATTTGGATTTGGTTTAAGTTGACAATGCTTACAAAGGTTCCTTGACAAGTTTCGCTAGGATATGTATTTTCCTGTTTATTGCCTCGATTTCCAGCCCCTGGAAAAAGAAGAGAGGGAAAAGTCAGCACCAGGCTGAATAAGGAAAACACAATGAACAGAAGGTTAGCTACAAAAATTCAACGCAAAAACAGTAATTATAAAAAGGCAGATCTAAACATCTTGCATTTTTTCTATGTCTATAGGTGCAAGTGCACACAAAAGTTTCAAATTTCTCAAGCAGAGTACTCAGTACTCACCACCAGCATGTTTGTTTCCACGCCTTCTATCTGCAAGCAGTCTTTGAGTAGATCGACCTTGGCGGAAGTCAAACATGCTAATTAAACCGCCCATACAGCCAAAGCGTTCCTTTCCAGATCGCACAGCGCGCCTCTGTGATTTTTTTGCCATGATAATTCAGTACCTTGCTGGAGTTCCTTTATGCGTTTCTCATTCAATTTTTTCTTCTATTTTTCAGTGAAGGGCTCCTTGAAAATCTGATAAACAGGAAGAAATCAACAGTGAAACAACAAAAGCAGATAAATGTGTTCCAAATTCCTTGACTATTAATAGTATAAAACAGTAAAGGATGTAAACCAAGGGAAATAAGAACAAAAGGACATCCTGGTCACTGATTTGCCAAGAGTTGAAGTAAATGGCATAGAAAAGACATTGATTTATGGCTGCTAAGGGTAGGAAAAAAATGGTGGGTGAGCAGATGAATGTGTCAGATCATGCATTTTGATGGGGAAAAAAGAAAAAGCAGCCACAGATCACAAGCAAGCGGGTACAAACTTCGGAGCAGCAGTTATTAACAAAGGCAGAGTTAAGAGAGTTAACATTAATGAAGACAATTGTACCAAATGGCAGAAGGGCATGCACAGAAAATTCCAATAATAAAAAGACAGTGGAGAATGCAAGAACTGAGAAGAGAGAGAATAAAAGAACCATCATTGAAAATGAACAACTAAAAACACTCACTTCAAGATAAGATCGTCAGGAACTTCAGATGATAGTGAGAATTCTGAGACTCAGACACTGAAAATGAACCATCATTGAAAATGAACAAACTATAGAGCTGATTGATTTATGAAATAAAGGTTAAAAAGAGAAGAAATGCATGAAAGTAATGCCTCAGAAATTATGGAATCCTTGAATCTGAGAGTGAGACAAACGAGAATTATGAAGAATAGTTAGTAGCCAATATAGCTGGGGGTGTTACCATAACAAGAAAAAAACACCAAAATACCGATGTCAACAACTCAGGCTTCCCTGGCAACTTGAAACAGAAGAGAACAAAGCTTTCTTAACATGGCAAGGGATCAAAGCAGTCCTTTTGCCCCCACAGGCCTCAACTGGTGCTTTAAATTCCTAACTAAGGACTGAAATGTTATCTCTTTAGATCTTCTCTTGCACGAAAAGACAAATTGCTTCAATGATCAGATCTCAAGAATTCACCTACCAAAGTCTCCTATCCTCCAAAGAAATTTATAGTCAAAGCTTTGACTTAAAACACAAAAATCAATTCCCACATTCACTATCCTGTAAATACTCACCTTAATGACTATCTCCAAATTATACAGACTACCCAGAAAGAAGTCTAAAAATTCAGTAATTCATGAAATCACCGGGAACCAGAAACAATCAAAATAAAAAAAAATTTAAAGAAATTCATATTATTTTTCAAATACTCCATGGACCCCCGGAAAAAGAAAAAGGAGCAAATTTCCAGCACAATTCCTGAGTACTCGAAATATCAGAGGACTTTATCTGCAGTGCGCATCTTTAGACAACTAAAGAAGAGGAACATAAAAGGCTTATCTACACCAACCCATGATTTTTTAGGAAGAATTATGAAGTGGGCAAGCATCATGGACTCGAAAAAGTGGGAGAGAGAGAAATTGGAAAGTGAATGTAGAGAGCTTTACAGTGCTGTTGGAGGGTAGATGGTGGTAAAAGGAAAGAATACGTACAGAGTTGGGAGTGTGGTGATGGTCCCATCGTGAAAGAGAAAAAAAAGAAGAAGAGACACAGAGAGCTTTATGATGAAGAAAGGTCCCGGGTGTGTCGGTTCCATTTACTCCACTGCCAACATCATCACAGTCACCACCACCACCGCCGGCCACCGTCCCCTAGCTTTGTTCATCTGGAATTCTGACACAATCTGCATCTTGCTGCCATCACAAAAATTGTGTTGATGGAGAGATGGAGTTGTTGGGCTGCATCCTACTTTTTAATGGTTTCTGTTTCTTTAGAGCAAAAAAGTCATTGGCGTTGAGAAATAAGAGTTGCAAACATTTCTCCTATGCTAAATTGAGAATGGAAGGCTATATTTTAATTAATATATTACTTTCGCTTTTGATGTTTTGGTCTTACCTTGAAGTTGAATTTAGTATAATTACTTGAAAAATAATTTTTTGCCAAAGAAGCCCCCATGAAATAGTTCTTAAATATATTAACCTCGCCCTTCGAGTCAGTGGCTCTAGCCATACTTGTAAAGTTAATGTCCACTCTCTCTAGGATAACGGTTCGAACCGGTTCACGACAAAATGTTCATAAAAAAAAAAAAATAGTTCTTAAATATATATAACAAGAAATATAATTTTCATTGATGAAAAACGCCATTTATAATTCCTTGTGTTCAACTCAACTTTTTTCAACCATCATGACGGTAATCATAACTTAGTTTTGAATTTAAATTTGCCACTTAAATACTTTACCATTGCAATCTTTAATTATCTTTTATAATGGGCGGCAAGTTTTTGTTAATTATGTTAAATTCACTTTTTTCTTTGTTACAAAGCAAAGTTAGGTCATTTTCATTTTTTTATCTTAATTATACAATAAAAAGATAATCATCTGTTATTACATCTTACTTATATATTATACGATTTAAATTTTAAATTTTTTACTTTCGATAAAAAAAATTACTATTAAGTTATTTAGATCATTAACAATCTTTCCCATTAAATTAAAAAATTTATGTGAAAATACATCTTTATTGGCTTCTTCAAAAAACTAAACATGAGAAAAACAAATCCCCTTCCTAATTTTTTTTTTTTATAAGGACAATGGTTATATAACTTATATGTTAATATATTAGAAGTGTTAATGAGGAGTATTAAACCCGAAATATAAGAGTGTAAACCACGAGCTGCCTTTTGAAGTAATAAGTGACTACTGAACCATGACACGTTGAATGCCTTCCTAATTGAATTGCTACGCTTTAGTTTAAATTTTCATTTAATCACACAATTTATAGTTTAAGAGTAATTTCCTAAAATACCCATCTTATTTTTCTTTCAATTAGACATTAATGCAGAGGACACAACGGCTGAAATTGATGACTTCTAATTTTAAAGAAAAATGGTTTAGGTATAATTTTTTTATTTTTGTATACAATTTTATGTATTATTTAAATAATTATTTTATTTATTTATTTAAAATTTATAATAATAAATATATGTATTTATTTAATAATATATAAAAATTATATAAAAAATTATACTTCCATTACTACCTAATTTTAAAAATTATGTTCAATTAAAAATAGCAGCGGGCATGCGGCACGCAAGAGAATTTAGGAAATCTTCAGCCGCATGCAACAAAAAGTAGAAAATCCCTTTTTAAGATAGGGTATCTTTAAATTTCTACCTCAAAAGTCAAAACTAATCCTACTCCATGCATTCATTCGAGCAGAATTTAGGAAATTGTTGCTTCTGGGATGGTGCATCTGAAATTGGGAGTGGTTGTGCCTAATTTTCCTAAATGCGGTCCACTCAGGTCGGACCACAACTGTACTAATAGACTCCCACTTAATTACAAACAGCGACCCCGACTTGATTCACCATCCAATCGTAAGGCCGGATGACACAACTGCACTATGTAAAAATTTCTCCTTAATAAGGAAAAAAAATTTTCTCTCCAAAACCAAAAAATAAAAAA